GTTTTCTCGCCGCTGGCTTGGAGCGGGGGGCTGCGTTCCCGAGCTCTAGGCGAGTGATAGCTCTGCTGACCAGTCTCGGCAATGCTCAAGCTGTCCTCCTTGTCCTCTGGTAGGCCCTGAAATTGCCTGATTTGTAATTAATACCAAAACAGAAACACGCACAATATAAACTTCCTATATTTGTTTTGAAAGCTACCAAATGACTGGTTTCTTCAAAAATACTGTATAGTCACTGAAAAATACACAAATTAGGAGGAATGATAAAGCTTAACATAAATATAAAGTCAACAAAGTCGAGTTCTCGAATTCTGAATATTAAAGCCAGGAAATGGAAGAGAACTAAAGCGCTTTATGAATGAAGGGAATTACTACCTCACACAGTGCGAAACAATTTTCTGGAATTCTCGATGTTAAGACCTAGAATATTCTGTACCGCACTAGGTTGAAGAAGAGTTTAACTATGTTTAGGAAACAATACCCGTAACGAATCATGAAGAAATAGTTTTTGAAAATGGACTGTCAGTTTCTTGAACACTTCATTTGAGGAAACAGATCCTTAGAACCACTGGAGAAAAGGGCTTATTAGTCTAACCTTCAACCTCATCGACGTAACCATTCTCATTGTTAGAAGCCATGCGACACTAAAAACACTTTCTAAAACAAAGACTATAGCTTCGTTTTTATACTTAGAGCATCTAAAGCTTATGAACTTTTGCAGATTTCATACGACATTTTACATTTTTCCCTTGCCACACTAAATATTTCTCATGTTTTTAAAATCTTATTTATAAATGTGGCATAATATTTCCCTCATATAGTTTGTACATACAATTAACATAAGCTCCTGAAAACTGAAACATTACTACCACTAAGAAGAAAATGTAAAAGAACTAAGAATAAACGAAGAAATTAGTCATGTATAGAAATTTTAAAACCGTCCACTTAATAGTGGGCACACCTGTAATCTCAGCACTCAGGAAATAAACGATAAAAACAACAAAAACAAAAGCAGTGGGTGTAGGAGCCTGCCAGTAATCTCAGCACTCCGGGAGACTGAAATAGGAAGATCACTAATTTCAGTCCAATCTGGACAATTCAGTGACTAAGGAAGACCTTGTGATACCGCGTGGTCGATGAATTCCAGGCTCTGGTGTACAAGAAGCAGAACATTGCAAGGGTACATTCAGTGGTAAAAGACAAAGCAACTACATTTATTGAAGATAAAAGGAAGATGTGCTGAGGGCAAGGACTAACAAATGTGGTGTTAGGGTGACGGAAATAAAAAACACAGCACACAGATAAATCAGGCTTGGAATCTACAGGATGTGCACACCCGGCCAGGTGGCTCTCATTAGGTCTTTGGATATGATTAACAGGAATGATTGACAGAGTGATGAGTCATCTCAAGGGCTTTCAACTCAGGCTTGCCCTAGAGTTCCTTCTGATTAAATTACATACATGAGATGCAGTCCATATATATGAGCCTTTAATGAGGTTCAAGTGGGAAAAAGATTACTGAAGGTCAGACCCTGGGATCTAACATGCATGAACCCTAGCCTGGAGATTTCCCAGATCTTTGTTTATTTTCTGCTTCTCTCAGAACAAAGGAAAAAAGAATTGGCCCTGGGGTGTTGCCCAAAGTCAAGTGTTTGGAGGGGTGTGGTCTCCCAGCCCCATTTGTCCTACCCTACTACTTGTCTCAAAATAAAAATAAAAATTAGAAAAAAAAAGGATGAAATGTATGTAGCTCACGTTGAAGGCCCTGTGTTCAATCCTCCATACCTAAATATATAAAATAGCCAAAATGACAACTTTTTTGTTGTTTTTGAGACAGTCTCCCTATGAAGTTCAGGCTGGCATTGAACTCACTATGTAGCCCAGGCTGGCCTCAAACTCTCAGTGATTCTCCTGTGCCAGTCTCTGAGGGTTGGGATTACAGAGGTGCTCCCCTGCCCAATAAGACCACTTTGTTAGCTCCAGTGAGGTAACTGTTTTATACTCCTAGGATATAGCGACCAATCGTCCCAACAAAGGACCAAGGTGACCTCTCTTTCTTATCTACTTCAACAAAATGATGTATAAATTTATGTCAGTGAACTTCAAACCAAGGTGTATGTCCTCTGTGGGATTCCTAAGGGCTGAATGGACTTAGTTTTAAGGGTACACGTTTCTCAGTTTTCAGCTTTCTCATATTATTCCTTCCTAAAATCCATCTGCTGGTGAAAGGTATGGAGCCAAGGTATCTTCCTGGTACATTTCCCAGCTCTCTCACAGTACCTTGTCTTTCCCAGTTTGCAAAAATGAAAGGCGCGCCTTTCACCTTTTAAATGATGCATCACTCTGGAAAGTAAAAACCTTAGGGAATTTTGTCAGTTCCTTATTAATTTAAAATATTGAGCTGTACTGAGAAAGTGCATACGTCTAACAAATAGATAAATACAATTCTGTTAATTTCCAAATAAGTACTTTTAAGAAAGTATGCCCTAAAGATCACTAAGTGAGTTTATAAATTGGAAAGAATTCAAAGAATTGAGTGACATTGATAAAAGACAAAATTCCTTGTAGATCTATCTCCTGAATGTGATAATTTTCTCAGATTTGATAAAAATGAAAAATTGAGGAATCATGGATGCTGAATTATCTCATTCTAGTTAGCAGTATTAACAATAAATGTATGCATGAGTATATTAAAATATTAAATATTTTAACATTTTTGTATTATTTTGAACACTTGATTATTACTAATAAATATGATGCCTCAACCTAGAAGAAAATGTTCAAGTACTTACATCCTTTCAGTTGTAAGAAATTTAAAAATCTTAAATTTCATTTCTGTATTTTCATTGCAGAAAGATATAATAATGTGAGTCGTTAAAAAATTCAAACACAAAAAATATAAATTAAGATATACTCCTGAGGGATGTGACTATGAAATTATGAGTATGAAGAGAAAAATAAATTTTGTAAAATATTCCATTAGTAGATTTTGTTCTTGTTTTTTAAAAAATGGCTGATAAAAAAAATGGCTGATAGTAGGCATAATTGCTGTGATTTAGACCCACTTATAAGTGAAGCTGTTTTAAAATGCTAATTTTACAGCATATAAGAAACTGCATACTTTGCAACTATTTTAACATGATAAAATTTTGGATATTAATTGAAAAATATCAAAGAAAGAAGGCTTAAGGGCCAGAGATTTAGTTCAGTGTTTCTTCCTCCTGCCTTGCAAGCACAAGGTCCCGAGTTTGATCCCCAGTACCAAAAAAAAAACACCAAAAAAAACAAGCAAACAGGCTCGCTTTGTGTATGTACCTGTGCAAAAATATCTGAGGACCACTGATTATTATTCATTCTGCATTGGAGATTCTTTCCAGTTCTAAAGATTGTGGCAATAGTTATTCTTCCAATGTTCTTTTCTTTTTCTTTTTTCTCTTACATAGAAACCCAGCTATATCCAGAAAATTTTATTTTCCTTTTGTACTTTGAAGACTTCACCATTGAAAAGAAAGTTTTGTGCTAATACCTATTTGTTTCTTCTTTGTAATAATCTTTTTTGTCAATATCTCATACTGAGTAGCCACTGAAGATGATATGCAGTGCATTAACTATTGTTATTCTCTTATTACTTTGTTAGCTCTCATTTTGTTTCATGTTTTCATAACCTAAAAACGTTTTAAGAGAATTAAAAGAAAAAAATATTTCATTTACCCTAGGGTTTCTAAACATCCACTTCCATATCTTCACTGAAAGTCAAGAGTGAGAGAATGATGGGAAAAGGGGGTTGCATCAGAAAAGTGGGAGCACCTTTATTACTGAAACAGTGAGCATTTTCAGGTATATAAGTTGTTTCTTCTTTTCATATCTTGCCTTGGGATAAATTTCCAGAAGTTGAATCACAGAACACCTGTCTGGCTTTTCATATACATATTGCATATTTCTTCCCAGAGTTAGACCATTCTGCCATACCACCAGCAAAGGCGTGAGGGTTAGCTTCATCAAAACTTCTCTCCACTTGTTATTATATATTTAAATTTTTTTTTTGCTAGCATAGTACATGTGAAATGGTAAAACAAAGTTTCCCAAATTTGCCTGACTGCCTCTGACTTTTTTCATCTATGTAATCTCTTATAACTAGTAGAGTATTCATTCCTTCTACATTATTCCTTCTGAGGATTTTCATTTGTTTAATTCCTGCTGTTGTATATTTAAAACAAAAGCCTCAGTGAAACAGTCTGTAAAGTTTTGGTAAGCTTTGTTAACTTGGTCTCCCCTGGGGAAAGGTCAGAATGAAATTATGAACTACTTATAGTTTTTAGGAACTAACTGGTCAAAAGTTTAATTTAAGGAAGTATGAAAAGAACATGCTTTCTTACTTTCAAGAAATTGATAGTCTGTGGGAGATGTGTAGCTGCAAGTAGATTAGAGCAAGATATGTATCTAAACAGAGCCCAATGCCCAAGCTACTAACCCAGATTCTGCAAGTCTCAGAAGGAGGTGACGGTTAAAATGAATCTTAGAGTATTGGTGGGAGTAAACGAGCCAAAAGCCAGTAGGGGAAAAGAGAAAATATTATTCAGAAAGCAGGGAGCTAAGAGAAACAGAGAAATGGCCTCTTCTTCCTTCCCTTTTCTCACCAGATAGTAATACCTAAAGCTACCTTCTGAATATACTAAAGTCCCCACTCCCTTCTCTCAAAGTGCATCCAAACACACCATTTTTTATTCACTCAGTCTGAATTCTCCTTTTCTCTGGGTCACTGCTGTCCCACAAAATTGGGAAGTACAATCCAATTAAAGTTACATACTTTATGCAAGAATATTGTCTTGGAGTTCTGGAATTTTTAAAGGGAAAACTGTAAACCCAAATGAACCTTAAAAACTTACCAATATGCAGGGTAGAATTCTTTTAACAGGAATTTTTCAGTCTCTATTTTCCTAAATAAGGTAAGATGAAGAGACTTTAACTTGATGCACAAATTCTAAGTGTTTTCTTGGCACAGTCTCTCTGTGGTATGGTGATAACACTTTACTTGCCACACTGTCACAAGCTAGAAATCTTGCATCATTATAAAATGTGTTTCTTTCCTTTGTTTTCTTATTTCCTGAAGTGGTCAGGACTCTGACCCTAGCTCTCCAAGAGCTGTGAATAAGAAGGAATCTAAAGACTTGTAAGAATTTTTCCACCCATCAGTAGGTTCCTCCCTCATATTCTAACTCAGCTCACCCAAAGATTGTCTAGCCTTTCTGGTGTAAAAGAAGCCCAAGTTTCTTGGCAATGTGAGGTGCAATTGGTAACTTGAGAGCAGAAGTTCTGTTCTAAGGATTTTTTGTAGTTTAAGAGTCTTGCAGGGTTGAAATTTAAAGGAAGCCAAAGTCACACCCAATATGAGATCACTGTTGCTGGCAGGCTCCTGTTAGCACACCTAGAATAGCTGGGAATGATCCATGGCTGTTACCTACTTTGGCTGTAACTTCAGACTCAGTCCTTCTTGCCTTAACTGTTGTCCACGCCCCTGGCTAGCTGTTCATGCCTATGTGATGTCCACCCAGGTAACCAAGAGTAGCTCCAACCACACAGGTAATTCCTTTGCCTCAGCCGTAGACTGCCCAATCAGTATAGAAATTATCTAGCCTCAACATTTGTCTATCTTATCTCATTTTTATCAATTATGTGTAATGTAGTTGACCACATAACTCCCTAAATTCCTTATAATTGCACCTAGGCCATGATCAATGAACCTAATCAAGATAGATTTTACCCAGTCTTCATTAAATGAAACATCCATCTCTACTTGCTGCAGCACAATAGGTATATACATTATTGTTTCTTAGAATATGGCACACAGACCTCAAGGATTAAAAACTACTATAAACTAGGCCTGTTAGTACACGCCTGTAATCCCAGAACTTGGAGGCTGAGCCAGGAGGATAGCTTTGAGTTTGAGGCCAGCCTGGGCTACATAGTGAGTTCAAGGCCAGTTTGAACTACACAGTAAGACCCTGTCTCAAAAAAAAAAAAAAAAATTAGGAGAATATGTTTAAAGTGAAGATTCCTGGGACACACTATTCACTGACATTCAGATCCACTAACTCTGATGGAAGAAGCACAACAGTGCACTTTGAACAAATCCTAAAGATGACTCATGCCTGCTAAGTTTAAGACCCAAGGCCTTATAATACTCATTCTCCATTTACTTATTTTCGCACTGGTGAGACATTGTACCTGATACTCACAACATGAAGAAGGATAATTATACTTTGGCTCACAGTTTGTAGGGGTTTAAATCCAGAGTTGGCTCCAAGGCAGGGTAGCTTGGCAGTGTGGCATGGCATTGGGGCATGGCAGAGGAGAAACTGGTCATGGAATGGTGGCAGGAAGCTGAAAAAAATCAATTCAGGCCATGTCCAACCCACTTCCTCAGACCACGCTTCATCTCCCAACATCACAGTTAGCTATAAAATCATCAACAAACTAAGCCACTAATGAATATTATGTCCCCATGATTCAATTATCTCCCCAAAGCCCAATCTGTAAGTGACAAGGTTTTGGGGGGACATATAAATATAAACAATAACATCCTCCAGTTTCTGAAGAGAGGGTGCCATTACGTGTATGAATCCCTGTCATTTATCTGGCCACTGTGAATCCTTTGTCATTAAATAATATCCATTTAGTAGTAGATGTTGGACAGAAAATCTGGACCTGCATCTACTCTTCAGGATATGTGTCTTTAAGGAAGATGGACAATCTCACCAATGTTGTAAGAATTGCATAAGTAGTGAGTTTATCAACTAGTTTACAGCCTGAGGAGCCATACCCTAAATAAGGAGCTCTTACCTTGAGTTCTCCCACCCAGACTGATAACAGATGGGGCCAGGTTCTTATCAGTTACAACATTATGAGACTCAGCCCAAAGCCATAGGAGCCAAATTCTATTGGAGAACAAAGAGCCAGATTTCTTTCTAGTTCCTGCATAGAACAGAGAATCCCAATTTCTTCCACTACCTTGGTCTAGGGCACTCTTAGACCCTCTTCCAGACTGGATAGAATGGCTAAGATATCCCTGAAAAGCCCCTGTTGGCTAGGCCCTAAACACTTGAGTATTCTGTTGATGCTTTACTTTTTTCAAAGTCTGCAAAAAAAATTTGCTTTTACAACCTCACCGCATAACCATTTGCACTCTGCTCCAGTTCTAGGCCTTACTTAAAAGCTGCCTTTCCACATCTACCAATACTGTTCCCATGTCAGCTCCCAGTCACTTCCATGGACACTCAGTTTGAAGGCCCTCTTCCCATTATGCAAATGGGATGAATCATTATGGATGGTTTGTTTCTGCCAAGATGACTACCCCAAGTTCCTAAGCTTCTTCAGCACCTGGAAGATGCTCACAGCTCTAGAATTCTCATGCTATTCATCTTCCCAGTGGAATCACTATGTCTTAGTAAGACCAGGAAGCTAGAGGACAGGGGATCAGGGGAAGTTTGTTCTTCTGATGTCAGATGCCTGCCTAAAAGTGGCAACACATTGATTCAAAGGGTAAGGGTCTGGGTACACTGAGATAATCCCTAAGAAGTTAGGGTGCAAAGGAGGCCTACTCCTCCTGAGAAGCCCAGCTAAAAGTAGTAACCACATGGTTTCCTTGTCTCATTTTCATATGCCCACCAAAATAGCCCAACAAAGTGCACATAAATCCCTGAACTTGGGTACCTCTTCAACATCCCCTGTTGGAGTACCTCTTGGCAAGTGAGAGCATTTCTTTGTTCTGTCTAATAAACTGCACTTGGTTTATTCCCTACTGCTGTCCATAAATTTCATCCTTCATCTTCCTTGGGACAAGAGCCAAGAGAGAAAATTGATTACACTTGTGTGGAATTCTATAAAATGAGTCTATCCTAGGATAAGCTCACCTCATTTCCTATCCCTCTGATTTCTTGAGCACCTGGTTACTGTCCACTGATTCTATACCTCTCATGTATTTTTTAGGTCTTTTCTACACAGGCCCCACATCTTTCACAGTTGATCCCCCTGAAAAAGCCAGTGTTTCAGAAGGGTGACTCCCTGACATCAATTCTCCCACTTCTGGCTTATTTATTCTGTACCAACTGGCAGTTCCAACATCATCAAGGACCCCAGCCGAGAGTCTCCATCTTCTGCAAGGTGATATGATGTAAGGCAAAAGAAAGACACTGAAACAAGACTTCAGCCGAAAATGGGGATCTGGGATGGTCTGAGCTGAGCTAGCGTCAAAGACACCAGGTACCCAAGACCTCCAGTATTTATTGATTACAAAAGCATAGGAAGAAATAAGGCAGGGTGTATGTGAAACATTTGGCAATAGTTTGTGAGGCATCTGGCAATAGCAGTTAATGCACACAAGGCTCATAAAAAGGGGAACAAGGCATTCCTGCAAAAGGAACAAAGGGAGACCAAGACCAGTTTTTAATTAACAAGTAACACATTAGATCAGTGGGGGGATGCCATAATTCAGGGAAAGGAATTTAGTCAGAGCAACACTGTCCTTGGCCATAATGTTATCTCAATCAGGGCCCTCAGATTCACAGACCAGGACTTGGGTCTCTGCTGTAGCCATTGGTGGGGGGGGGGGCTATACTCACCCATGTGCCAACCAACCTGCCCACATGAGTCATGTAGACTTTGGTCAGACTCCTAATATAATACTTTGGCATTATGGGGAAGCAGGAAGCCTGTACCACTTATAGCCTGCCAGTAAACCGGGCGGTGGGGGGCGGTCAGCTACACAACAGGTCTTCTCTCTACTCTAGCACTGAACTCAACTCTGATGGGAGGCACCTTCCTCTTCCCCCTGCTGGAGCCAGCCATGAATGTATCTTCAAACTCCCATTACATCTTATTGGAACCTCCCCTTGCATGTTGGTACCTGTCACTGAGGCTGCTGTGCCTCTTGACAAAGGTGGCTTCTACCTGTCTCTTCCACTGGCATTATTCTCTGCCACTTGGTTGGTAAGTAGGCTCATACCAAGTCTTGGCCTCTCTTCATGACACATATATCCAGAGTAGCATGACATATTTACAATCAAATACTAAATTATAAGTCCTAGTCTGAAGGGCTTGAGTCCCTTAGAATTAGCTTTAAGAGTTGAATCCTCCTACAGAGCAGCCTGAGGAATTATCTGAAAACTGACCTTAGTGGTAGATCTGTGCTGCAGACTTTAAGGTCCTCCCCATGAGAAATATAGATCAAATACTCAGAAGCAGGCTGGAGGCTGTATCCTTGAAGCTGAGTGCTGATATATATATATATCCATTCCATATGGGATCAGCAAAATCACTTTGCCATGACTTTTTTTTTTTTTGCTAAATAATTTCATTGTTATTTATTTTATTTTATTTTACATAAGTGTTTTCCCATATCCTTTATACAAGCTTTGACTTCTTGGTCTGAGACACCCAGTTGAAAAACAGCAGAAATATTCTTTACCATTTAAGTCCCTATGGAGATAGCCGCAAGGATTGGTCATTGGTGGATAACAGGTATCTGTTCATTCATTGATTCATTCTCATTTATTGCTTACTCTGTGGACAGCCCAGAGTGCCTGGGAATACAGTGTACAGGAACAAAACTATTTTGTAAATACCTTCCTGAAACATATGAAGCCTTTTGTCATGGCTGTTCATGGGGTTGGGGAGGAAGGTATTCCAGAACTGATGATGACTGATCAAAAGCCTGAAGGGCAAGTAGGGGTATTCAACAGTGAATAGGAGATATGAAAAATTTCCAGGCTGACAGAAATGATCAGAGGCTAGAGTGGGACTGGCTGCTGAACAACTGAAAGAAGTTCTGTATGGCTGGAAGGTAACTTGCAACAGAGGAATGCTTAGAAAGGAAGGCAGCATTCTGAAGGATACAAGCCTGGGAGTATTTTAAGGAGTCATTATTTGAACTTGATGCTTTGGCAATAAAACTTTCAAGTAGAACTTGAAATGGGACTGGGGTAGGCCTAGCTTCTGCTAGGTGTGAGTGTGCGAAGTAAACATCGATGTGTGGTTTTGCTGAAAGAAGGTCAGACATGATGCTGAAATGTGTTCGACTCAGTCATGGGTTCCACAGCCAAGACCCCTTGAAGATAAGGCTTGATAGATATCAAGGTCTGACTTCTGAACCATGAGAGAAACAGTAATTTACCCATGTTCCATTTTCCTCTCAAAAATAAAAATAAGACAAAACCAATAACCAAAAAGCACTCACCCAAATTATAATCTGGCAGGCTCTGCCCCATAATCCTCTACTTTCCTTGACTAAAATGGCCTGACCTTTTGTAGCTCTCCTTTATCTTAACATTAGAATGAACAATAATACTTAGGGTGTATTTGATTCCATAAAATTACAAGCCTGGTTCCCCAAGTTACCATAATGTGAAGTCCCACCCACTACTTTTGGAAAAACATGAAGTTGCTAATACCCTGAAAGAAATGTTACATGTGTTGGGAAAGTAAAATAGTTTCAACAGTGCTCTGGTTCTGTGGTGAGGGAAGGAAGAAAGAGAGATCTAATTTTCAGAAACATTTTCTAGAGGGATACATCAATGAAAGTGTGACTTTGCCTAAAATGTTGTTTGTTCATACACTGGTTTTGATTGTGTTGTTCTTGGAGTAGTTTATAAGGTTTGATGGCATTAGAGAAGTTAAAGGTCTTGCTTTGGTGAAAGATTTTGTAAACTTTATGATCACATGAGCATACTGGACTGAAAGTCAGTCTCCCTAATGGTTCTCTCTCATCTTTACAATCTGTTTATCTCCATCTGTGTCCTGGAAAAGGAAATTGGGGACAATATGCTTTTTTACAACTTCCTTATACTGAAGCAGGCTCCAACCTCCACCCAGTCCCCATCACCAACAGGATGCTGATGGTAATGATCATGATGATGATCACCACCATCACCATCATTTTTGAGAACTGATTGTTTTCCAGATCCTGTGTCTTGTTTTCCATTCATAAATTCTCTGAGAAATGTGTTGTTCCTGTTTTCCTGGTGGTGCTGGGGATCAAACCCAGGGTTTCACAGATGCTAGGCGATTTTCCATTCATAAATTCTCTGAGAAATGTGTTGTTCCTGTTTTCCTGGTGGTGCTGGGGATCAAACCCAGGGTTTCACACATGCTAGGCGAATAATCTACCACAGAGCAACAATACCAGGCCCTAATATATATTTAAAAATTTTATTTTTAGAGGAAAGCTGTCAAGACATATTTTCAAGGTTTCTGATATCTTATTTCCTAGGGAAATTTTTTTCTACATGTTGCATTAGTCAGCTTTGAGTTACCCTAATGAAATACCACAGACAATAAAATTATAAAGAGAAAAGTTTTATTTTTGGCTAACAGATTTGGAGGTTTTGGACTAAAATCAATTGGATTCATTTCTTTCAGCCAGTAGTTAGGCAGCACCACACACCGGTGTGTGGTGGAGCAAAACCATTTACCTCATCAGCCAGGAAGAAAAGATAGGATGGGCTAGGGTCCCATTAATAGCTTTTGAAGGCACAGTCACACAAATTAGGACTTCCCACATAGTTCCATTCCTACAGATTTCATTACCTCCCAATAGTGCCAGCCTTTAACATATATGTCTCAGGGGGACATTCATCTAAACCATAGCAAGTGCTCATTCAAGGTGGCTTCAGACAATTTCTCAGCCTCAGTATCTCCCTTGTTATAACTGTTGTCCTGCCCACTTCCCCTGAGATCCGTGGCCCTCACTGTATCCTTTAGCTCCTCTTTTAAGATCCTCATGGCACATTAAGTATCTATTTCCTTTGTATAGTGGGAAAGCTCAAGAGGGCAAGGGCTACGACTGGATGTTCAATTCTGAATCACCATATTTCAGCTGCCTGCCTGATATATAGGATGCATTTAGTAAATGTTTTCTAAGTGAAAATTAATTAATAGGTGTGGTAACCCAGTCTCTGTGTCAGGTGCTGCCAGGATCTTAAGCAGGAAGACCAAGCTTCTACCCTAGTTCTGAGGGCACACTAAATTCAGGGTAGAAAAATTCAGATGTCCTAATGTACTTATCAGTACCAGTATCTCTAGAACAGCAGCAGCTCCAGCCTTGAAGCTGAGTTCTGAAGGAGATGTGGACATTTTATTTAGCTAGCTGCCAAGGAGGGAAAAGGGGTTTGAGGCATTTGAAATTTCTTGTGCAAAGTCCTGAAGGGGCATGGCAATTCAGACCGAGTGTCTAAGAGCTCAGAACTGATCACGGGTTTCCAATTTGTTCCTTGGTTCCCTTTATTGCTAATCAGGACTATAATTGACTGCTGTTGACAGTAATGGTGAGTATTTATTCAGTGTTTTGGTGTACAAGAGCCTATACAAAAAAGTTTTAGGATGGCTACTTTAATTTTCATAACAAAGAATGTACATCCTCTTACAAGGATGGGAGCAGAAGGACAGAGAGATTGATTGACATGAGCAAAATCACATGGACAGAAAGTGACAGGGTGGCATTTATATCCAGGTAATATGACTCAGTGTATTTCCTCAGCAATGGGTGTTTGCTCTCCAAGTTTCCATTCTCCCTGCTCCCAAGGTCCCTAAGCTCTCGAGGTGAGCTCCTTGAAGAGGTCTCACCTCTCTGGAATTTGTCCCATAGCTTGTGGCTATTAGGCCCATATCTACCACTGCCGGGGATATACCTGTGAGGATAGAGCCCTCCACTTGATCTTGTTCATCATTTATAGTCGGTGTTCTTTCCTTAACTTGCTTCCCATTTGCCTTCTTTACCCAAGCTTGACTCGTGGACTGTAAATTTCAGGGTTTACTGCCCATTTGTGTATATATTTGCCCTTTGGATCTGACATGTAACCATGTGCTACTGAAACATTTATGGATAATCCCTATTATTTATGCTTTGCACTTACTCCTTTTGTTTGGCTCCTCCAGGAAATCATCTGAACCCTATCCCCTATTACAGGGCTCCAAGAGGATATCTACGCCAGCATGGAGCCTAGGTGTCGTGCTCTGCTCTGTGATTGGGGTAAATCCGGAACACCTTTGTGCCCTGTTAACTTTACCCAGGAGGTACAAAGATGGCAAGCGTGGGGGCTAGATGGTAGAGATCATGGTAGAGGTACATGACCTTTCCTGAGCATTGTTACCCATTCAATCAATAATTATTGATCATTTACTTGTACACCAAGCACAGTACTAGATATAAGAGATTTAGTCCCTGCTCACATGGGAGCAGGGTTGGTAATGAACAGTGATTGGAAATGACTAGCATCCATTCTTCCCTCTTTTTATTTTCTATTAACACACAGACTGTACTATGAGGGATGCTCCTCTCCTCATTTCAGATTAGCCTTGCCACTTCAGTGGGCAAACACTAGCCCCATCTCTCACAGGCAACCCCCGTTTGGTCCATGCTACTGAGTTTAGTGCACAATACAATACTGGTGCATTGTAGTGTACAGATGTGAAAAGAAATACTTCTATCATTTTGCCATGATAAAGGAAGCCAGAAAAGAATTGAGCTTACATAAAAAGGTAAACCCCATCAACAGATTATAGATCCTAAATCAACTACTTTTGAAGTTTGCTGTACCTCTGGACTTTTCAGTTACATAATTCAATAGTCTCCTTTAGGTTTTAAGACTATGTGAATTGAATTTTTTATTGCTTGAAACTCTGAAAATTAACTAATGTATGGAGTTTAAATCTGAAAGCCCAGTAACATTCCTCCTCCTCTGGATAGTAACATCCCATTTTGTGGGGAGAGATACTCTGTTCTCCCAGTCTACTAGTTATCTACAAACTGATGGAATAGGCCTGCACTGCAAATATGCTAATCGTCTTCCAATATTCATTCAATTTCTTTCTTAGTAATGTTGGCACTTGGCACACTCCTCGTTATAGTTGGGTGTGACCATACAACAAAGTTTCACCCAGTAATAACAAAAGCAGTTTTTTGTGCAATTTCAGAGAAATGCTGTTAAAGGGAGAGCTTGTGCTCTTCTTCCTTCCATACTGGCTGAAATACTGACTGCTTGCTAGAACTGGAGCAGCCATATTGGGCCATAAAGCAGACCCATGAACTGAGAAAAAACTAAGGGAACTTAGGTCCCTGGCACTGGAGCAACATACAAGCTTAATACTACTTGACTCTGGATTTCTTTTACCTAACACAGAAATTCTTTCTATAATCTATTCCTATTTTTGAAAAGAATCTGGAGACTTTCTGTAGGCATGGCAATAAAGACAATCTTTTCCCAGTGGATTTAAATTGGGAAAATAGAGACCTGAAGCTTCGAGGTTGCATAGCAGGGATCAAGTCTTCTCGAGACTGAACTCAACGTAAAATGAAAGAGATACAAAATGATGACATTGTTTGAACTGCTAGATCCTGCCATATCAAAAACCAAATATCCCCAGTCAATATTAATGTGTTGCTTACCACCAGAATTATTAAATGATTCTCCCTAGAGTTAGGAGTGGTGCTAATCCTGTTCCAACCTGTCCGTTATATAAGCCCCATCTTTTCCCCCAACTAGGCCAAACTGAGTTGGTTTTCATTCATCACTATCAAAAGCTTCCTGACAAATAGAATACAAACATAATACATACAAAGTGAAATAGGCACTAAGAAGAAGAAACAGAATAATTTTGGGGGGTGTACTCTAGGAGGTCTCCTGTTATATCAGGGTGAGCTGCTCTGAGGAAATGACATTTCACTAGAAACCTAGAAGAGGACAACAAGTTTTAACCAGGAAAATGAGTAGAACATGGAAAGAACGTGGTCTTGGCAGAACTAAACACCATTTACTAAGGACCTATGACAAGGTGAGCAAATAACTCAGTGCACTTATGAAAGCAAAAGCATATATATATGGAGAGGGGGAGGGTCTGGACCCAATCAGCTAAGAAATAGAAAGCAGCCAAGCCAAGAAGTATGTAGCTTTCTGCTCTCATCTCATATCCAGACTAATATTCATGTAAAGTACCTTTTACACAACATAGTAACAACTTGATGGGGAAGGTAGTAGTAGTGCCAAGGAGATGGGATAATTTAAAGACTGTCCCACCAGGCCTTCTAGATTGAGGCTCTAGTCTCCCTACTGGCCTCCTACAACTGTTCTTTCTTCCTCTCACCAGTTTTTCCCTTAGCTACCCAGAGAGAAGGCTGTATACTCCATGTTGCTCTCTGAATTCTGCGGCTTCTCACTGTTCCCAGGAAGTTGCAAATGTCAATATTATAAACCCCAACACCCTCCAGGATCTGGCCTCCACCTGCCCAACATCTTTGAGTCATACCTCCCTCTTCCTCCATGTCCCCTCATCTGTGTATTGGTATTTCTTCCTGCCACTGTGTCAAACACAATCCATTCCTGGCTAATGCCTACTTAACCACACTACCTTCATCCTTCCATTCGAAGCCTCTAAAACTGCCCCAACCCCAAAGACTTGGTTGGATTCCTGAGTTTGTTCTCATAGCAACTGTGTGCCTCACTTCCGTCAGGCCTTTTTTGCTGTCTGTGGAGTTTTGAGCTCCACAGGTGCTTTTCTGTAACCTGGTATCAAACAGTAGTTCTAGGAACAAAAGAAGCAATGCAATAACTATTTTCCAAGTTTCTACTGTTATTCTGCTTGTTCTTAGGACAAGAGAAAAGGGAAGTTAGAAGAAGGAAGAATTTTTATAACAACATGGATTTGAATTTCTCATCATCAAGAAGTATTCACCGAACATAGAATTTTGAGAATTAGTTCTTGTGAAGAGAAAGACATAGATTAAGGCCTCCCAATGCTAAACCCTTGTGGCTCTCTTTGCCTCTAGGCCAAGTTGTGTTTCTGTCACATTTTTAGAATGCTATGGCTACTGTTTTATGTAGTAAGCACATCAAGCTAGAGAAAAAGCTCAGGCTTTAAAGGGACACAATTCAGTTCAGTGTAAGTGTATTGCTTGTGCTAGGCTCAGAAAATGAGTCCCTCTCCTCATGATGTTCAGTGTGGTGTGGGCAACAGACATCAATAGGTGATCTCAATTTAATGCACAAACTATGGGTAGGCAAAGTGCTACAGAAACAACTGATGCTTACTAATAATGGACCCAAAGGTTCCTACTGCCAAAGGATTACCTTGAGAACTAAAAGTGATAACATTCATAAAACACAAAACACACTATCTTTAAAAGAATAACTCAGTAAGTGATATCCATTAAATTACCTCATAAGGCCAGAATTCTTACTCTGTCTGTGCTGGTGAAAGTACTGTGATTCTTCCATATGCCGAATTTTCACATAACCCTATTCACCACAGTAAATGTAACAATGACCTACTATCAACTTTGCCTTTGTTTACAGTAAAGCTGACAAGAAATGATTAGTATATTAGCACAAACCCATGTCACGCATTGAGGGGGGCAGGAATGCCTCAGAGAACACTGTGGGCTGACAGAAGGCAAGGACCATTATTTAATATGTGAAGAACAAAATGTCCACATTAACATTGTAATTTCTCTCCTCATTGTATTCTCACTTTTATCTAGTAGTCCATTTTTACTCTGTTGTTAGTGTTATTACTGGCTTGCAGTTACAACAATATTAACCCCTCTACTTTCTCAGAAATCTTGAAGATTCCTTCCCAACCAGAATTAGAAGCATAATCTAAGCATCAAATCCCAGATGGTCCTTTTTTCTTACTTCTTTGCTTTCCTCGTGCTTCATTATTGAAATAATCACTCTTGAGCTGATGATACTTAGAAGAGATTTTGGACTTTTAACTGACACTATGAAAGAAAAAGATCTTTGTAAACTTTTGGAGTGGGAGCATGTATTCTACACATGGGACAGCTGTGGACATCAGGACCAGTCAACATGATACTTGAATAACTTGCAACCTTGTCCAATGATCTCCTCTTCAAGTGTGAGCGAAACCTATGAATAATGATATCACTCAAACGACTATGTTGTATTATACCCTCCTTCTAAACCTCCTCATCTTACGGGTAAGATTTATTGAGAGACACAATCACAGATTTGTGCTTTATTATAACATCCAATCTGGAACAAATCCTTACCACCTTAAACCCTTTTGTAAATTACCCAACCCAAATCCAAACCCTATAATAGGTTCTTTCTGACATCCTTTCATTAAAATGCTCCATGATATCCTTGATAAATGTTGTCCCACTCTTCATCGAGCAATAAACCCACCTTGTTGCACTACACATGAGTTTTTGGTGGTCAGTTTTATGTTATTTTAATTGTTGAAAACGAGAATCTTCCTGTAGACACCTATAATTTTTAATGCAAATTATAAAACTTGAATAACTTGACTGTATCTAGAGAACAAATTGATGCTGTATACAGCAGCTCATCTAACAGTTAAATGCTCTGGGCTAATTCAGCTTTATTTTCCAATATGTTTAATTTCTTTCGAGGTCAAATAGCATCAACTATTTGGTTTATATATTACAGTCATGTGTTGCTTAATGGCAGGGATATGTTCTGAGAAATGTATCGTTAGGTGATTTGGTTGTTGTAAAAAGTCACAGTGTTTACTGCAGTGTAGGTTAGTCTTTTGGCATGACCTTTTAATGCAATCATAGAGCACATAAAATATAAGGCCACTGATAGCAGCACAGAATAATATTTTACACTTAACTTCTTGCTTTTGTCAGTAGGAGAAATGGACTCTAAAATGATGAAATTATAGTTTAATACATATAAAACCTGTAACATAGTCATTTACTATCATTATTAAGTATTATATACTCTACATAATTGCATATGCTAAACATATATATACGTATATGCATATCTCTTTATTTATTTATTTATTTTGGGGGATATTGGAGATCAAACTCAGGACCTTGGGATTGCAAAGCAGGCACAGTGCCACGGAGCTAAATCCCCAGCCCCTAAACATTTATTTTAATGTCAGCTCAGTAGGTCTGTTTGCATCAACATAGCAGAATAAACACGAGTAATATTTTGAGCTATAATGTTATGACAGCTACATTGTCATTAGTTGATAGGAATGTTTCACCTCCAGTATTATCATCACATATGTTGACCACTGTTGACAAAATTGTTATTTTATGCTTAGATTTAGGAA